GTTTGATTGGCTAGCGCTTGTACTGGCGGGAATTGCAAAAACGGGATTTGATTGGCTGACGCCAGCTTCGAGCAAGCGTCGAGCCTCAAAAGTTGAACATTGTTCAACTTTTGACGCCGATAGACGCTCGCGATGCTTGCAACACCTTGCCATGCTACCCACAATGCAGTTCGGTCGAAGTTTGAAAATATCCTACGTCACCCCATTCAAATGAATGGGCGAAGCGTTGAAAGCATTTTTTGACGCCTATAGTGTAGACGGGCCGGAAGGGAGAGGTGCCGGCACGGAGATCTCGTGCCCGCGGCGCCCTCCACCTCTTCGGCCCACCTCGTGGAACCGGCGTGCCGGTGTTATGCCGTAGGTTGAAGCCCTGCCGTGGATTGAAGCCCTGTTCGCGGGGACGCGCAAAGGTGACGTCATCGCCTGTATTGAGCGTTCGCCGTTTTTTCACCCTTTTCTAAGCTTTTTTCTCTCTTTTGAATGATATATCAGATTAAACAGCAAACGGCTGAATAAATAATGTGCATACAATTGCGAGGAGGCTCGTTTTAAGGACACGTTTTTCAGATCTGTCACAATCTTCGTATTGGAATAAACTTCCGTTTTTGAGTGTATAGTCCCACTCTGTTATATTCCTCCTTCCTACAGAACAGACAATGACGGGATAATATGTGATTTGTCAATAGTCCTATTTCTTAAAAAACGTCTCTGTTGTTTAAGTGTCTGATAACCACGAACAGTAAGCAATGATATAACAGTAATGATATCACATGATCATGTCAGACACTGTGTTATTTTCAATCAAGCCTAAAAGATAATGTGTTCAAACTGGCTTCACTCACTTGAATTGCTCCTTTGAATATCATTTTTATATATTCCTACTCAACACATGTTTGTATTGTAATGCCACTCATATATTTTTTTTAAATTGTATTTTAAGGTGACATTGAATGCTTTGAAAGGTGCCCTAAAATAAAGTGTATTATTGGTGTCAATAGGGAAGATCTGCACTGTTCTCATACATAACATGTTCAGAGCAGGTATTTCTCCTGCCGGATTTGGAACCCCCCCTATATCTTTCTCCAGGACAGTCACAACTTCACCAAAATCACACTGGTGCTTGCTGTTCCCCTCTAGTTTGTGCTCACAAAAGCATTTCACTCGGGGCCCTGCCTATAGAAGAGGCATGCAGTCTTTTTACAGTGCTTTCATCCTGATTGATGAGTCAATAAAGCAGTTCAGTGTTTATGGTCATTTGGCATGTGTATTTGATTATTGATTTTTAATGGCAGTGTTTTGAAAATGAACTGTAGAACTGCGTGCAGTGTTGCAAAAGTGCCCTGTTGAATTTAAAATTGAGTGCAAAGCTGAAAATGTGTTTAGATTTTTGGAGACTTGAGCTGAGGTTTTGCTTTTGAGTGTCACTTTAAATAATGTTGCTTTATGTGTAATTTTAGTGTGTTTGCAAACGAAAAATACTGTATTGGTCTAATTATTTATAATTTACAAACCTATTGCAATAAAGTGAAGAAATGGAGAAGATACCACAAATGTGAAAAAATATGTTTGGGTGAGGTTAAAAGAATGTCCCTTTATTTTGTGTCCATGCGGTAATAAAGAACATGTGCGCTGTTGAAAGAATTCAAAACACTTTAACTTGTAAAAACAGGGATTTATCATTGCCAGGAAAAAGGATAACTTTATTATTATGATATTACACAGAAACGCAGAAATGACTTGGACTGCAAGCAAATAGAAAATCTTCCTCAGGATAGAAAGTCTGCTCTGCCGGATTTAGAAGCCCCTTAGATAGTCACAGACTCACCAAAATCCCACTGGTGCTTGCTGTTCCCCTCTAGTTTGTGCTCACCAAAGCATTTTACTCTGGGCCTAGCATTTTACTAGAGGGGAACAGCAAGCACCAGTGTGATTTTGGTGACATTGTGACTATCCTGGCCAAAATTACAGGGGGCGCTTCAAAATCCGGCAGCTCTAACAACTGCACTGCCGGATATGGAAGCCCCTCTTTAGTTTTTCACCTGCAGGGCCCAGAGTAAAATGCTTTGGTGAGCATAAACTAGAGGGGAACAGCAAGCACCAGTGTGATTTTGGTGAAGTTGTGACTGTCCTGGAGAAAGATATAGGGGGGGTTCCAAATCCGGCAGGAGAAATACCTGCTCTGAACATGTTATGTAGAGAACAGTGCAGATCTTCCCTATTGACACCAATAATACACTTTATTTTAGGGCACCTTTCAAAGCATTCAATGTCACCTTAAAATACAGTTTTAAAAAAAAATATGAGTGGCATTACAATACAAACATGTGTTGAGTAGGGATATATAAAAATGATATTCAAAGGAGCAATTCAAGTGAGTGAAGCCAGTTTGAACACATTATCTTTTAGGCTTGATTGAAAATAACACAGTGTCTGACATGATCATGTGATATCATTACTGTTATATCATTGATTACTATTTGTGGTTATCAGACACTTAAACAACAGAGAAGGTTTTAAGAAATAGGACTATTGACAAATGACATATTATCCTGTGCTACACTAGGAAGGAGGAATATAACAGAGTGGGACTATACACTCAAAAACGGAAGTTTATTCCAATACGAAGATTGTGACAGATCTGAAAAATGTGTCCTTAAAACGAGCCTCCTCGCAATTGTCTGCACATTATTTATTCAGCCGTTTGCTGTTTAATCTGATATATCATTCAAAAGAGAGAAAAGCTTTGAAAAGGGTGAAAAAACGGCGAACGCTCAATACAGGCGATGACGTCACCTTTGCGCGTCCCCGCGAACAGGGCTTCAATCCACGGGAAGGCTTCAACCTACGGCATAACACCGGCACTCACGGAGACGGGCTGCCCGTCTTCACGGATCTTACTGGCCTGGCAGGGGGAGAAAATCTCTCCGCCCGGGACGAGAGGGCGAATTCCGCCTCCTCCCTGTATAATGCACAGATCACTACGTTTTCTAATAAGAATGAGGTTGATCTGTATCCAAGACTAAGTGTCTTTTGTTTCCACAAATGCTACACTTACACACAATGTTAACCATACAAATTCCCCATTCGCTGCCCCAGCTGTAGCTCCTGTAAAGGAGGTGGCTAGATGAGAGGGATGAACCGCAGGGAGTGCTATCTAAAGGAGAGCGCTATGCTATAGGGACATTATGGCCGGCGTATTGCTGTCAGAGAACACACTACGCCTAGAGCAAAGACTCCAATTAATGCAGTTTACCGTAGTGGTAAAGGCTGCATTATGGCGGAGCCCGCACTCACACAAGAACGCGTGGCGGTGCGTTCAGGGACCTCAGTAGAACACACTACGCCTATAAAGACTCCGATTAAATGCTGTTTTTACCGTAGTGGTAAAAACAGCATTATGGTGGAGCGCGCGGCGGTGCCTTCAGGGACCTCAGTAAATAATCGGCCCTTTCTGTTTCGACCCTCCATGGGCAAATCTTCCCTTCACGGGGAGTTTTGCGGCGGAACGGCTCACCAGCTTCCTAGCTACGGCCCCACATCTGAGGGTTTTTCATTAACATAATATTATGGGGAATGGAAACTCAGCTGTGTACTAACAAAGTGGATGGACAGGACGCTGAAACGGGGCTATTCACTCCAGTTTTGCAGCGTCCCACCTCCTTTTATGGGCATGCGAGAGGAAATCTGTCCTCCCAGGAGGAGATTGGTTTCCTCTCAGCAGAGATTCAGGCTCTGGTGCAGAAACAGGCTGTGTCTGTTGTGCACCCTCAGCACAGAGAAAATGGTCTTTATTCCATGTACTTCCTGGTTCTCAGGAAGACAGGGGAATTCAGATCTATTCTAGATCTCAGCATTCCGAATCGCTACATTGCCTGCAAAAAATTCTGCATGTTAACTCTAAAACAGTTAATGGGGCTTGTGCAAACCGGGCGATTGGTTGACCACCATCGACCTGAAAGACGCATACGTTCATGTGGAAATTGCTCCGGAGCACAGAAAGTGTCTGCGTTCTGCCTTCCAGGGGATAGCCTATGAGTACAACAGATTACCATTCGGCTACTCCCTATCCCCACGCACGTTCAGTACATTTGTGGCCACTGCGCTTAAACCGCCACTTGTGGCTTGTTGGCACCCTAGTTGTAATTGGTTAACCACATAAAGATGTCCCGCCCCTTATCACTTACAATGTGTTGGAGTGCTAGCCAATAGATTAAACTATAGAACACACTACAGGAGAGAGGAAAATGGGCTCTTTAACTTCACCAGGACATTGCTATGGAGGTTTTCTGGAAGACAGTGGACACCAGCTGTCTGGCCACTTCCTGCTCAGCAGCCAGGACTCTGGAGCTCCTCTTCACCGTCACACTATCGAATGTGTTGCATATTAGATACACAGAAGTCATTTGCCTTACATTTAAAGGTGCTTGAAATCTGTCCAAAGGGAGGGGGAACACACAGATCAATAGAACATGAGCTCTCACATTCATCCTGTTCCCACTCAACCCGAAATACACTCTCTATACTCTGTTGTGAAAATGGGGATAAATGATACAAATTATAAATACATTATTACAATCTAAATGCAATCTTTAAAAAGTAATTCACATCCCCAAATACTAGATGCAGTGTGTGAAATTAAGATGTATAATGTTCATTATAGGAGATGTGCCGTGCCTGCACTACAATACACAAATAATTCAACCGCGTTAAGTGCTTACAATGTGTATGGCCTTTGTCAGTCTCCACCTTAACTGTATACAATGCTTTAAAACTGTTTCTGTGTTACATGACACTATATAAAAAAGTAAAGCTCTTTCGGAACGTTTTTAGACCCATTTCCACTTACCTTCATAACTTGAAAGCAGTATTTCAGTCACCCTGCAGACTTTCAAATGTTACCTCAGCAACTTCCTTACATTAGGATTAAATAACAAAATAAAATAAATGTTATTGCCCATGACCATTTATTAAATGTTAACATATGTTATCTGTTTTCACAGTACCACCAAAAATCATCAACCTGTCAAAAGATATTGTGGTAAATGAAGGCTCCAACGTCACCCTGATGTGCCAAGCCAGCGGGAAACCAGAGCCCTCCATCAGCTGGAAGCTCATCTCGTCCTCAGGTAACTTCTTCTTATATGCCTCAGAACCGTTTCTGCTGCATACACATGTTCCTCTCCGTCCTTCCTGCTGCCTCTCTCTCCCTCCCTCACCCCTCTGTGTTTATCGCTCCATCTTTGACTTTGTTTGACCCCTGGTAGATGTCTCGCTTCACTGATTACCCATCATTACCTGTTTCCAAATCATCATTACAACGTAATTGTTCGCAGGAAAGTAAACTGACCCTGTTGTTGTTGGACTAATTCATTAGGATAATAGGATGAATGTAAATGTTCTGGAGGCTCTTTGAATGACGGGATTAAAGCAGAGAACAGTGTGGAGCATAATGCATTTACAAGCATCATTGGTCATTGTGTCCACAATTGAGATAATAGCATTGTTCATGCTCAATGGCATTTATACCATTATTCCTTTCTGAAGAATAAAGGACACAAAGTGTCCGCTGCTATTTCTGTATCCCATTGCTTCACTTAATCAGGCAAGATGTTTGCATTCATAAGGAGTTACATTTAAAATTCAGAGCTTTTGTGTTTCCATCTGTGCTGTCCTTTGTGTTGAAGCGGGAATCTGGGAATTGAAATGTTAATATGACACAAGTGTGACTGACCTGTCTGTAAGGAGATAAGCAGGGAGAGAGGACATTGACTGGCTCCTATTAATGAAATGCTACATGCTTGTGCATACATTACTGAGCATGCTGGGTAGCAGTGACTGTTGTTGGACACCATTGTTCTTTTGTTTTAAACAGAGAAAGCTGTTTCTTATACCAGACAGACACATTATTTGGGATAATAATTGTATTGTAGGTTAGATGAAAGCAATAATATTAAGTAGATTTGTATTTAAATTTCAAATATCCTGATTCAATCATGTGTAATTTCTTGACATAATACATTTCATTAAAGTCAACGTTTCAGTTTTTTCAGTGTGGAGACTTTGACATCAGCATTGAACGAGATGTTGTTTAGTTTGGATTATCTTCTTGTTGAGTTGTGTTGATATATTTAGATTTGGAGCCCATGTGCTCTTCATCTGTGCAGCATTTAGCAGAATATCCCAGCCTCCAGAGGCGCGGGAAGGTATTTTGAGTGGGGGTGCTGAGGTGCTGGACTCCAGTGAACACTATTACGGGCACTATAGAGCACGCACAAAAGCGCGAGCACCAGGGGCGCTACAGTGGAATGTTCTACTGCAACACTCCCCACACACACACACACACGTACACCCGCAGGGGTAAAGTCCTTTAGCTCACCTGAGTCTCTCAGTCTGAGAGGAGAGGACCCTCCTCCAGCTTGTTGTGGAACAAACAGCTCCTTATGTCCGTTAGTGCCGCTAGCTAACCAGATGCTAACAACACGGTCTCTCTCTCTCTTTCTCTTTCTCTCTCTCTCTCTCTCTCTCTCTCTCTCTCTCTCTCTCTCTCTCTCTCTCTCTCTCTCTCTCTCTCTCTCTCTCTCTCTCTCTCTCTCTCTCAAGGACTGCTACTCTTAATCTTGAACTACCTTGTGATACAGCAGTTTAACCTTAAAGATCCTGGACACAAATTAAAAGCTAAATTATATAGTTACACTTTTTTTAAAGAAACAATATAGTGACTCTGTAATGTGATGAGAACATTGCAAAATGTTTTTTTAGAAAGATTTCTTGGTAGATGACAGACCTAAAGATTCTTCCACAGCATTAATGATCCTTTTAAACCCCCAAGTAGGACCAAGACATAATTGCATTTATTGCCATCACAAAAGGTGACTTTTCACCAGCACTTAAAACTGTAGGTTCTTCTTGCCTAATTAGGAAAAGTTGCCTGTTAAATCAGAAGATGTCTATCCCATTTCAATATGATCATGATGTGAATGAGACTGGTCTCGCAGTCTCCTTACCCTTTAGTAATTGTTACTCCTAATTAGCCAATTGGTGAGATCGTGAGTAGCAGAGGGAGGGGGGTGATCTGACAGGATTGACTGCTGGGCCAGAGGGGGATGACGTGTTTCTGAGGCATGGGACTGAAGCACTCAGCTATCTCTGGGAACTATTGCTGTGAAATCTCATTAACCTGATCCAACAGCTCGTCTCACTGCTGCTTTAACTTCCTGACTCCGGTGAGAACAACAGAGCTGTTTCCTTTTCAGACCCCCTAAAGGTGCCATCTATTATAATTGGCTGTAAATACATTTTGATGTGGGAGGAGATTGAGGAAGCTGAGTCATGCATTGAGATGATCTCTTGTATGTATCTTTATATATTTTGGGTGGAGTTAGCCTGTTCTCCAAAGACATGCATGTTAGGTCAATTGGTGACTTTAAACTGCCAGAAGTGGGAATGTGAGTCAGACCCGGCGCCAGAACAGAGAGGGCATATGATTTTCATGGGAGGGCACACAAAACCGTCATGTACCGCGGCGAGTGTCGACGCCAGAGATTTTCTTTTGGGGGTGCTGTGGGGTAGCTTGACGTTTCATAGAGGGAGCTCAAACATGTAGGGTTTTGTAAGGTGGAGTTATTTTTGTTAAACCTCTCTAAAAAGGTCAAATGTCACTTGTTTTGCATCAATCTTGATACAGGGTACTTATTATATGTTGTACTTTGGATTCCTAAAGCTTTCAGTCTACCTTACCATCATCCAAGGGTAGTTTTCACTATAAGTACAAAATATCTTTTGGACGGACACTATAATTTACAGTTTTTTACCATGTTCAATCTGAATTTTCTTTAAAATAAAAAACATCTATATTGATTCTGACTTGTCTACATCCAACTCACAGGTTTATCATTACTTTGAGAAAAAAGATTATTAATGTAACCCTTTTAGAAGGGAAGATATGGTAATTTGTTCTGGGAATGTCATTTTCGAGCCTGAGACCTGAAAAACAGGCTCGGTGCTAAACTGGTTAAGGTACCGGCGCTACAGTGTAATATTCTACTGCAACACTCCCCACATATACAGTACAATGAAGGCCTGGCCCTCCCACGGCGCCGGGTCTGATGTGAGTGTTCGTCTCCCTGCATCATTCAGGGAGTACAGGTATAAACTGCGGTACAGAAGAGGCAACATAACACATATACAGGAAGACTCCATCTTCATGGTGTGTTTTCCTAAGCAGCAAAGGCGTTAAAATGAAGGGACAGTAATGGCCTCTACTCTGATCTTTGTGTGTGTGTGTGTGTGTGTGTGTGTGTGTGTGTGTGTGTGTGTGTGTGTGTGTGTGTGTGTGTGTGTGTGTGTGTGTGTGTGTGTGTGTGTGTGTGTGTGTGTGTGTGTGTGTGTGTGTGTGTGTGTGTGTGTGTGTGTGTGTGTGTGTGTGTGTGTGTGTGTTGTGTGTGTGTTGCTGGGATTGTGCAGCTTTTGGCTACACTTCCATCAAGCCAGACCTTTTTTGTGCAACAACAACCTGATTGAGAATCATTATGTTAAACAGAGCATGTTCAGAGCAGTAGGCCCAATCAGAGACATTCTTTATTCTATGCTCATCTCAGCACTCTTCATGATCAAAATGTATGCAGTGACTGTTTGCTTATGTTTATTATTTATCTGTTGAAAGTCCATATCTGAGAAAGTGCATTGAAATTCAGAGTGAGGATGCTTTTTGCAGGCACCAACAAAACTACAATTCAGGGATGTCCATAGGCTTTCAGTTTAGTGTGGGATGAAAATGTAAATAGCCATAGCGTTAGCTTGAGAAGCTGTCGTGTTGATTCTCCTCATGCAAGATAAAAGACAACAGTGATTCACTGTTTTTCCAATGTGTGTTTTTTTGGTTGTTTTTCTCTCAGATTGTTAACTGTCAATGTGCTGAGCTCTAGCTGTTATATGTTGTGTTGCCACTTTTCTATCAGTTTAATCTCCAGTATTCAACTGAGGGCCAACTAAACAAGAATACACAGATTGCCAGTGCATTGTTGTCCCCCTGCCTCAGAGAGAGCAGCAGAGCAGGAAATGTCCTGCTTCCTGCTGCAGTCCAAACTTCTGCTCCAGTATCTCCCTGCTGCAGAGCAACTCTGAGCCCGGGGCCATTCAGTGTGAGCCCAGATATTTCAAGTACTCTGGCGTGTTCAAACGAGTGAATTAAATAAATAAAGGTCCTGTGTGTTTCTCAGTGTATGTGCGTGTGTGCGTGTGTGTGTGTGTGTGTGTGAGCGTGTGTGGTGTGTGTGAGCGTGTGTGTGTGTGTGTGTGTGTGTGTGGTGTGTGTGTGTGTGTGTGTGCGTGTGTGTGTGTGTGTGTGTGTGTGTGTGTGAGCGTGTGTGTGTGTGAGCGTGTGTGTGTGGGTGTGTGTGGGGGAGTATGTGTGTGTGTGTGTTTGTGGGTGTGTGTGAGCATGTGTGTGTGTGTGTGAGCGTGTGTGTGTGGGGGGGAGTATGTGTGTGTGTGGGTGTGTGTGTGTATGTGTGTGAGCGTGTGTGGGTGTGTGTGTGTGTGTGTGTGCGTAAAGATTGATGATTTCAGGTTGGGTGTCGCAGCTCTCACACAGCCGTGACCCGGCTCCCCCTCACCTTTGATAGATAGATGGCTTTAGGGGCTTGAGGCGGATCAGAAGTGATCCTCGGTATCTCCCACAGACACACACCCTGACTGCAGAGTTTGTCGGCCAGGCGGCTAGACGACGCCCTGTTGCAATAAGGCGGCCGAAATGCACATGATTGAATTTGGCCTTGGAGCAATGAAAGTTTTCCAGATTTGCAGACGCCTGGATGCCTGGAAAGATTCATTTGAAGTTGGAGTTAATGGAATTGGTAGTCATAGTAGATTGGTCCCTCTTCGACCCCTTTGAAGGTGAAATACTGTTATATCAGTACCATATCAATGCATTTCAGATGTTATATGCATTTTGGCAGCGGCTTAGCTTTAGAAATATTCTTGTTGAAAAGTTATTTTATTCATTTGTTTTTTTGTTTTAGTGACCTTCATCATGAATTATTCACTTCTATCTGCTAAAAATGTTGAGGCTACAGCTGCCTCCATCGTTGATGTTGTTCAGCTTCTATTGGAGTATTAACACAGAATA